CCCCAGGTACCAGAGCAGGCCCCTCCCCAGACCGCTTGGCGGGGGATGAAGCCTCGCCGCCCGGAACCCGCCCATCCCCGCGGCGCCCGGGAAGGGGGCCTCGCTTCCAACGGCCGGGAACGTCGAAGGGCGGCGACGCGACCCCCGCCGGGCGACGCCGGCCCCGCTCACTCACCGCCCATCCTCCTGCTCCGCCAGCTTCACCCTCTAGCTCAGACCACAGCACCCTTCCCTCCGCGCGCCTCCTCTGACGCACTTCCCTGCAGAGCCCGCCCCCTCCACAACTCCCGCGCCTCCGCCTCCGCCCCCACCCCGGGCCGGGCCGCGGCCCCGGGCCGAGGGGGCTTGTGGGAGTTGTAGGAGGGACGGCAGGAAAGCAGCCTGGGGGGCGGTGGGCCGCCCGGCCCGCGCGCGGTGCATTGTGGGGGCTGTAGTTCGCTCCCGAGGGCGAGCCGGGGCGCGCGGGAAAAGACCGGGCTGTTGCATCCTTACGTGTAGGAAGGAAGGGACGGAGGTCCGGAAGGTGAGGCGGCCCGGTCTCCGGTCACCGCTAGTCAATGATTGTGACCTATACTACTCGGGTCGGACTTTCAGGCCTGCCCTCCCTAGCACACTCCCCTGCCTCTAAATATAAGCATGCTGAACAGTAATGGGATTCTACCTTGGAAATGTTAACCCGTATTCCCCCCCCCCCCCCATGATATCCCTCCCATCGGAGCAGAACGTCTTTCTGGTTTTATTGCTTAAATTTAGACCAAGAAAGAGAAGACCCAGAAGATAGTAACGGTAAAGAATATAGTGACGTTATTTAAGTTTCATAACAGGTAGGTTTGTGGCTGCCTTCTTTTTGAGATGTGATGTTTTCCCTTGTCGCAGTGTCGCGTTTCCTTGTAAAAGTTTTCTGTAACTTTTAAAATATTAAGTTAATCACACTGAGTATACCAGATAGTTAAAAGTGTGAATTTTAAAATTGTGAATATAGTACGAAAAAGACTTATGTTTGGGAAACATTATTTCAAGTAGATATGGCTGTGGACAGCATCAGAGATTACGGATGACTACGTGGCAACAGAACAGTTCTAAGCCCTTGAGTTTGCACAAAAATTCACGGACAAGAAGTAGGGGTGTATGTCATAGCAATAACGTGTGGACCTATGGAGTGGCCTGGGATCTGCAAATGATGGGTTCCGCAAATGATGAGCTCCTCCTCAGTTGATACCTACAGAGACTACTGACTCAAGGTTCAGAGGGCTTCTCAATCTTACACCCTACCCTCTAAGCCTTGAAATTTAACCACTGCACAGGAGAAAGGAGGGATTCTCCAAGATGACATCAAATTTCTACCACCCTGGCAGAGTGAAGGCATGAGTTGTTTCTCTGTTGTTATTCTTTCACCTGAGTTAGTAAACTGCAATTTATATGCAGTACATAAATATAATAAGGTAATCACCAAATATATCATAATATTCAAAGATGACTCGGAGTTTTCATGTGTAATCAAAGAATATGTTTATGAGAGGAAAATTTTATCAGAAGTACCCACTAGAGAAAACACCAACAATTTGCACAGGCAAATTGTTAATGTCAATGTAAGACTTAAATATATTTATGCACCAGGAAATGTCTTCATCCATGGAATTTCATTAGAAAGCCCCTATCTTCAGATCTCCCTCTCCACTGAGGTCACATGGTCAGCAAACCAGGCAAAAGGGAAGTCTGAAGGAGAGAGAGAAGAAGAAATAACCTCAATTTGCAGATATAAAAACTGACACCCAAGGAGAGTGAATAACTTGATGGCAAACTGGAATATTGGAGTGAGGATACTAGTTTTGTGACTTTGAGACAACTTAAGTCTCAGTTGTCTTTTCTCCAGAATATGGATATTGACAATAGCATCTATCCCAGGTGATCACTATGAGAATTAAATGAGAAAAGTGCTGGTACAGTGCCTGGGACTTTAGGAAAGAATCATTAGTATTTGCCAATATTTATTGATTACCTATAATATTTGAATAAGGTCAGTATAAACAGCCTTTAAAAGCTCTTTGATTCTCTCTACAGGCTGGAAATAAGCCACTTAAAAAGGTAGGTGTCTCGGCTCACTTCAGCAGGTTTAAGAACTGCTGGATTAACTGCCAAATGACTAGCAAAGGCATGCCGGTACCAGCATTTCAGGTGTCCTTGTTTAGCTCTCTGCTCAGGAGATTCCCAGGCCTGAGCTCATATCATATACAAGTCATGACTCAGGAGATAGATGTTTCAGGGATGACCTGCAAAGAAGGATACCACGTTCACCCTTCAAGTTGGGAGAATGCCTAGAAAACACTCAGGACACATTTCACTTACCAACTTAGCATGAACCTGGATGTGTCTGAGTTTCTGTGGTTTTTGACCATACTAATGGAGGATCTGAGCTGTCTCTTCACACCCAGTTCCACCAACCACACAACCATATTTCTGGTTTTTCTCTCCATCTTTGGTGTTTTCTAATTTCTATTTACACTTGTTGTGTGGAGAGGTAAAATAACTCCTTAATAAGTTAATGAAGCTAAATTTCTGCTTCTATTTTTTTCTCTGCAGTTTGGGAAACAGTGGCTGGCCTCACGTAAGTTCACAAATGTTAAAAATGAGTTAGTGCAACCATGCACAGATTATAGAAGTGTGAGTTTAAAAGAAAAATTGGACTCGGCTCTCGCTTAACTTGTAAAGGATGGTTCTAGCTTCAGCAGGAAGGCATTACAGTTATACTACATTGAAAATAAACCCAATTACTGAAAATCTAGATATTCAGGTATTACAACTTGTTTTTATTATGTGCTTACAAAATAACTCTTCACATGAGAATTCCTTTCAATACCAAATTCCCTAATATACTTAAATATTATTTTATTTTTAATTGCACATTTTTTAAACTAAAATTATGTTAAGTAAGATATATCCAAATTATGTTTTTCTCATGTAGTTTTGTCCTGATTGTTTTATCTATTAATTATGGATTTCAGAAAAGAAAGAAAATGGAATTATGTACAAGTTCTGGGTTGCAACCAAAAACCATCCTTTAAAAAAAATGTTAATCTTTTAATTTCCTTGTATCCATTTACTATAGAAGAATAGCAGAAATCAATTAAGGATAAGGCAAACAGAAAAATGCGTCTAAAATGGCTCCTTTCTTTTAGAAATTCTTGTAAATTGCTAAATATAGTAACAAACTATAGTTGTTCAGATGTCCATGCTTCTGAAGGACAGAGAATGGATCACATGTAGATGAGAAGTTTAAATTCAAATCATCCTTTGTTTTAAAACCATCGATGGGTCTTTGGTAAGTGACCTCTCCATTTCTGGACACCAGTGTCCTCATTAGTAAAATGATTTGTACTAATAATTACAAATATCACTTGAAGCTCTAAAATTTTATGATTCATAATTCTGCTGGAAGAAATGTAATGTAACTACAAAGTGTGGTTGTCATAGATCCACAGCATTAGAGTTTCATTAAGGAATTTGTGTACCCTCCATCTCTAGCAATATACAAGAAACAGATAGTGGAAAATACAGATGGCAAAGATAAAAGAGGAAGGCACTGTGCATTCTGCTTACAAAAGATACAACAAAGATGAACAACAATCATGCAATTACTATTTCAGGTAGAAATTATAGACGGTAACTTTGTTTCTTCTAAGTGATACTTAGTATAGAGTTATAGGTATGAATTGAGGGCACCCCAAAATCTTTCAAAAGGTAAGTTTTATTGCAAATAAGAAACAGATGAGATTCACTGACTTAATTATTAATAAACTAAAAAAAAAGTCTTCGGTGAGAGACCCCTCTCTTCTTTCTCTTATTACGATCCACCATATTTATTATGCAGAGGCCATAGGAGAGATATTTTTGTATTTATTGATTTGCAAATTGCTTCAGATTTAATAAGATGTTTAAAGTGAAAACGTTAGTATAACTTAACCAAAAATATGCTATGCTAACTTAGAAACATCTCTTCATATTAGTTTATGACATAACAAAGATCTCAGGATGAAATAGAAAAATGGAAGCTGTCTGAGAAGTTTGTGAAAAGTCCCTATTTGGAAATAGCTCAAAATTCAAGTATGGTTCAGCCCAGGTCTACAACGACTTATTGCATAAATCTTGCATGCCAGAAGCTGTACTGAATGCCAGGGACACCAACATAAATAAACATAATTTTTGTTATGAATAACCTAAATCCAGATTAAATCTACTATTATGAAGAAGCTGAAAGTATATGTTCCTGGAATAGTAATGTCATTGTTATATATGTAAAAATTAGTTACCAAGGGAAATAGTTCAATAAATTAAATGGTAGAACCCTCATATAGCAAAGACATGTCACCTAATTTGGCATGAAATGTTACCATATCATATAGTACTAAATTCTCCAAGTAACTGTGAGAATAAAAAATAATAGCCAGATGTGGTGGCACGGGCCTGTAGTTCCAGCTACTTAGAAGCCTGAGGCAGAAAGATCACCTGAGCCCAGCCATTTGAGGCTTGCGGTGGCTATGAGCGTGCCACTGCATTCCAGTCTGGGTGACAGTGAGACTCCAACTCAAAATAATAATAATAATGAAAAACCTCCTGGAGTATAAGCAGTTTTATTAAACTGTACTATTTAAATAATTATGCACTTTGTGATACTCAAGTAAGAAATGAACAAGAGACTGTATCTTTCTAACAAATGATTATATAATTACACTGTCTGATTGAGAAGATTAAGGAGAAACAGCTAATTTGTGCCATGCTATTTGCCAGTGATTGGGGGACACAGCCAGGAGCGGTGGCTCACATCTGTAATCCCAGCACTTTGGGAGACGGAGGTGAGAGGATTGCCTGAGCCCACATGTTCAAGACCAGCCTGGACAACATGGCAAGACTTCATCCTACAATAAATCAAAAAAATTAGCTGGGCATAGTGGTGCTCACCTGTGGTTTCAGCTACTCGGAGGCTGAGGTGGAAGGATTCCCTGAACTCAGGAGGTCAAGGCTGTGGTGGCTATGATCATGCCACTGCACTCCAGCCTGTGTGACAGCGTGAGACTCTGACTCAAAAAAAAGAAGCCGGGCTCAGTGGCTCAGCCTGTAATCCCGCATCTTTGGGAGGCTGAGGTGAGTGGATTGCCTGAGCTCGTGGGTTCGAGACCCGCCTGGGCAGGCGAGACCTCATCTCTACAATAAATCAAAAAATCAGCCGGGCATGGTAGCGCGTGCCTGTAATTCCGGCTACTTGGAAGGCTGAAGTGGAAGGATCGCCGGAGCCCAGTAGGTCGCGGCTGCGGTGGCCAGGAGTGGCCACTGCACTCCAGTCTGGGTGACAGAGTGAGACTCCAACTCAAAAAAAAGAAAGAAAGAAAAGAAAAGATTGAGGAACACGTCAACAGAACATGTATACCCAGAAGGCCTCATATCCGGAAGGAAATCTTTCTGATGTACTACATGCATATAATTTTGTGAATCACCGCTGATTTGGTGATTCATAGGGAAGAAGCTGAAGTAATATAACCATAAGTCCAAGTATCACAACCTAATTAGGATATCTCTGTTCTTACAAAATCTCCAGCCTCCTGTGAAGCAGAGGCTACAAGCCACAGCAGATAATAAGGGACTTATCTGAGCAAATGTTTCAGTGAACAAAACTTTTCTGTCTTCAACATCTGATCCAGTTCTGAACATATTTCAGGAATTGGAAAGTGGAATAAGTAGGACCCAGAAATCCACGTCAATTCCCAAGATTTTGAGAGATCCAGGTAAAAGCCTTCCATAGAGTTCAAATTTTGAGGTCATTGTTAAACTTTTAAAAAATTAACCAAAGTAATAGCAAAGCATGGCATGTAATGTTGGTTAATTTATGTAAATTAGACTAGTAATTCTAAACCTCAGTGTGTATAAAAATCATCTTGGCTGCTTGTTATATATAAAGTCCTAGATTTCATCCCCAATGATTCTGATCTAATAGGTCTAGGAGAGTGTTTGGGGATCTACAGTTTTGTAGGTGTCTCAGGTGACTCTAATGTGGGTAATGTGGTAGGACATCCACAAGTTCAAAACAGTGGCTTTAAGAGTCCAAGAGGAACTTTATTTAGGTAACTACTATGTGCTGGAGACCAGTGGAGAGAGAATGGCTGGGCTCTGCCTTTATGTTGCTCAGAAGGTCGGATACCAAGATAACTAACCATGTGAAATGAGATAATAAGTACTTTATATAGAGAATTTGTGAAGTTCTTAGGAATACAGAGGAAGAGGCAGTTATTTCTGTGAGTGGTTGGGGAGGTAAAGGTGAGCATTTTGTTGTTGTTTGTTTGTTTTTTCCTGAGAAAACAATCCTAAAGAGGTGGCATGTATGCCCTAATTGAGTTATTGATATTTCCATCATATACATATATTCTCTATATATATTTGCTATCACTCTGTTTATACGGCCTTTTCATATGCTTACGGAACCAAGTGTTGCTTTTGAGTTTTGATCTGTTATCTTCATGTGAACTTCAAGGAGCATTCAAAGTCCTAAAAATGGCCACTGTGCTCAGCTCATTTAGAACTATGACTTTCCCCACTTTAGGCAGCTTTATTGTGGGTTCTGGCTTGTACTCACAATGTAATCTGATGTATTAAAAGCCTAGCAACATGCTATGTGTTCCTTTTTTTGTTTGTTTAAATAATTTAGTTTGTTTTCTAATATGGATCCTAAGATACTGTTGTTTTGTGATGGATATTCTCTTATGGTAGCATTCTATCATTAAATACTATCCTTCAAAGTGGCCATATATGATGAAGCAAACTACTTTACTGCAGTTTCAATAGTTTGTTGAGGAAACCAGATTTATTTGAGATAGTATATATCGGCAGGACAGTAACTTTTAAAACCTGAGAAAAATTTTAAGGACTACAGATTAAATGGATAGTCAAATGTTTTCCTCTAGAGTATGAACATGAACTCTGATTGCATTTTATAATACTTTCATGTTGAATTATTGAGACATAACTAAGGATTTAAAAAAATGTAGACTCAGAATCAGCCTTTTCTCAAGTGCCAAAGGAACTTATGGTTGCAGAGTACAAAATTCTATGTAAAAACTAAAGTACAATTAAAAATAGAGAATATATATGACTAGTACTTTCACACACACACACACACACAGATGAATGTTTAAATATTCTATATTGTCCCTTTATCCTTTTCAAGTAAATATTGTCCTACTTCAAATTATTTGACAAAATGAATTATTCTATTAAATAATTAAGGCTTACCCAGTGGGAAAGATTTCTGTCCCAGAAATGTCAAAGCGGTTAATTAGTTTCTCTGATCAGCAGTCTATATTTAGTAAAGAATATGCCCCCCATAAACTTAAGTGAATTGCACAGAGCAGCCAAGGACACAAGATAAGGCGGACCCAGGCATATAAATCAAATCCCCAAGTGACCTTCTGGGGCTGATCCCAGTCATGGGAGGCTTCATCCTCCCTGGCCTAGACTTACATGCCTGAGACTGAAATGATCATTATCATAAGGAAGAGAGGAGAGAGTACAACGGGAAAGATCATTCTTTTCGACATACTAATTATTGAAGAAGTAAAAATTTAACAGAAAGGACTTCAAATGTTTAATGATTGTATTTTCATCTACAGGCATCCATTTTTCTATGCAATAGTAATATCTATCAGAAACTAGAATTTTGAAGATTAAATTGGATGGAGAGAAGGGGAATGCAAGAGCACCTTGAGCCACTTTGGCCAGTAAAGAACTGAAATAAATGGAGTTAGTTTATAAGATGTGTTCTATTTTACTATGGTCTTCATAATCTAAAAGGACACACAGGAAAGAAAATGTGATAGAATTTTTTCTGTTTTATCCTGTTTTCCAAGTGTTTTGAATGTACCCCAAATCTTCCTTTTTAGCATCTATGTGGGTAGCTCCATTGTGATGTCATTTATAATAGGTATGTGTTGCCAGGTCAGTAATTCCAAAAATGAAGTTGTCTGTGTTTGGAGGTACTTAACAAAAAGCTATGGCTCAACAGGTAAAAAGTCATTGCTTCAATGATGTGGTCTAATGAAGGGAAAATCAGAGGGGATATAGAAGGATAGTTATTTGAGGATAGCTAGGAGAAAAATCTCCTAATCAATGATGTTCACACTAACAAAAGGGAATTTATTGGTTGAATTACAATAGCAGATAAGATGGTAAAAATAGCAGTTTGTGATTTTTAAACCTCTGTTTGTAAGCTACATAAATAACAATGCCTGCAGTTAGATACCCAGTGAGTTCATTCATACTAATTAGACTAAACTACAATTTAAATTAAAAAATCAAGAACTTTCTGAATCAAATCTAATAAACTAACATGTCCAAAGCACCAACTGTGTGCAAGATGCTATGCTAGTTGTAGTGGGAAATCTAAAATAATAACAATAAAAGCATGAGATGTGGTCCCAGCCTTTGGAAGATTGTTAAAAACTTATTGAGTGAGGCAGGGTCAATTATGTATGAAATGAAAGAACCAGATAAATGGGGAGAATCTCATGCTCTAATTGGAATCTGGCTGTTTGCCCAAATTGTAAACTGGTACAGTTTGTGAAAATTTCCATTTACTCTTTACACAATGCAAGACTAATTTTCTTCATATTTTGCCAATGAAGTAAAGAGTATCTTCATCATCAGCAGCAGCACAATTCTAAAAGTAAAACAGTATGTTATGTGTGAAACAGAAGGCTAGATCAAAACAAATCTCATTATTAGAAAAGCAAGAGGTTTTTGAAGGAGGTGAGAAAAACAAATTAGCTCATTTCTTTTTTCTTTTTTTTTTTTTTTGAGTTGGAGTCTCACTCTGTCGCCCAGACTGGAGTGCAGTGGCCGCTCCCGGCTACCGCAGCCTCGACCTGCTGGGCTCCGGTGATCCTTCTGCCTCAACCTTCCGAGTAGCCTGAACTACAGGCATGTGCTACCACACCCGGCTAATTTTTTGATTTTATTGTAGAGATGAGGTCTCGCCTGCCCAGGCGGGTCTCAAACCCACGGGCTCAGGCAATCCACTCACCTCAGCCTCCCAAAGGCACGGGATTACAGGCTGAGCCACCGAGCCCGGCAAGTTAGCTCATTTCTTAACATCTGATCTTAAAGAAATAAATTGAATATCTTGAAGAAAGAAGTCAAAAAGCACCTCAGTTTCATGGGCAAACGCAAATAAAGAAAACCACAACCACAACCAGCCAACACCAATCAGAGTGATGCTCCTTGTGAACTCTTCCTGAGGATTGGTAGAAACTGCATTTTCAATCTGTTTTCATGCTTGTCCAAGATCTTTCAAGGGAGGAGAGAGAGAGAGAGAAAGAGAGAGAGAGAGAGGCACTGTATAAAAGGAGCTCCCTTGAGATTTCTGAAAGTCATACAAAAACATCATAGGTAAGGAAACTTACCTGATTTGGCATCTGATTTTTAGTGATGGACCCAGAAGCAACCTCGGCTTATTTTGATTACTACTATGCTGCAAGCCCAAACCCCGATATCAAGGAGCCCCGCTTCCAGGTTCCTTACACCTCTGTCTTCCTTCCTGTCTTTTACACGGCTGTGTTCCTGACTGGAGTGTTGGGAAACTTCATCCTCATGGGTGCATTGCATTTCAAACGAGGCAGCCGAAGACTGATCGACATCTTTATCATCAACCTGGCTGCCTCCGACTTCATTTTCCTTGTCACACTGCCTCTCTGGGTGGATAAAGAAGCATCTCTAGGACTGTGGAGGACAGGCTCTTTCCTGTGCAAAGGCAGCTCCTACATAATCTCCGTCAACATGCACTGCAGTGTCTTTTTGCTCACTTGCATGAGTGTTGACCGCTACCTGGCCATCGTGTGCCCAGCCGTATCCAGGAAGTTCAGAAGGAGAGACTGGGCATATGGAGTCTGTGCCAGCATCTGGTTTATCTCCTGCCTCCTGGGGTTGCCTGCTCTTCTATCCAGGGAGCTCACGCTGATTGAGGATAAGCTGTACTGTGCAGAGAAGAAGGCCCCTTCCGTTAAACTGACATGGTCTTTGGTGGCCTTAATTTTCACCTTTTTTGTCCCCCTGCTGAGCATTGTGACCTGCTACTGTGGTATCGCAAAGAAGCTGTATGCTCATTACCAGCAGTCAGGAAAGCATAACAAAAAACTGAAGAAATCCATCAAGATCATCTTTACTGTCGTGGCAGCCTTTGTCTTCTCCTGGTTGCCCTTTAACATTTTCAAGTTCCTGGCCATCGTCTCTGGGTTGCAGCAAGAACCCTATTTTCCCTCAGCCGTTCTTCAGCTGGGCATGGAGGTGAGTGGGCCTTTGGCTTTTGCCAACAGCTGTGTCAACCCTTTCATTTACTATATCTTTGACAGCTATATCCGCCGGGCAATTGTGCGGTGCTGGTGCCCTTGCCTGAAGAACTATGACTTTGGAAGCAGCACGGAGACATCTGATAGTCACCTCACTAAGGCTCTTTCCAATTTCATTCATGCAGAGGATTATGCCAGAAGAAGGAAGAGGTCTGTGTCACTCTGAAAATAAACTGTGACATTTCAAGCTCTGTTGATGGGTTAGGGAGTTGAGTTTTGTCGGCAACAAAAAAAGAAATATTAATCATAGGATTTGTATTGCTTTATGAATGCAAAGAAGAGTTAATTTTTAAAGAAAGAACTGAAAATTCCTGTGTTGTGGATATAACTAATCCATATGCTGTTTTTCAGCTGAGTGACTTTATTTGACCCTTACCATTCAAGTCCACTGGGAAAAATACAATCCCCATCTGTCCTGGAACTCTTAGGTGAAGACTCTTGCTTGAACCAGTTCGATTCTTCATGTTAATTTGGGCCTTTCCTCTCTGAAGAACCATGGTAATTTAATACCCATCACCCTTCATACTAGGACCCAAATTGGACTACATTTAAAAGACTCTGCGCACTTTCATTTGGTGAGAAATGTGGTGACAATGCAGGTAGCAAGAAATAGAACATACCTGCACCCTGTAATAATTATGCCTGAGTTACTATGCTAGATTCTGGCCTCAGTCTTTAAAGCTTTGTATAATGATTCTTCATCATCTTCCAATAGTGTCTTTTAGCCTATGCCCATTCACAGTGGTTTTGGACTGGCCAAAAACTCATGGGATAAAATCATTTTGTGTTGTGTTTATGTTTTGGGACATATTTATCACCTGGTCTTCTAGTATTTTAGCAAATAAGTGTAGGACAAGATTTGACCTCTAGTCACCTTATAAAATATATAGGAATGTTTCTCATCACAATGGTGTAGTAACTACTTTTTAATAAGGTTTTACTATGCTTTTTTTGTTTGTTTTCATTTCCTTTATAAATTAGGATTTGACTTTAATTACATGTTTTTAATTACCCAATTATTAGTTATCAAATGAAAATGTTGCTACTAATATAATTGGAGCTCATCAAATGCTTAGCTCCACCCCCGTGTGGATTATCATTTTGTGCTTTAATTAACATGTTAGTACTATGCATTCCCTATAACATTATTTGTTTGATGTATATAATTTCAAGATGAAATCTAGTAATATAGGGAGACAGGCTGTGTGTTCAACCAAAGTGAAAAATCTATAACAAAGATGTTACTAGTATTTTATATATATATTTCCAAACCCAGAAACCTTCCTGAATTCCTTTACCCAATAAATATTTATTGAGTCAGTGTGTATCTATATTCCTTTTAAAGACTTTGAAGTGAAAAACATGTAATCAGTGGCAACCACAAAAGGCTTTGCAGGAGCAAACATGCTGTTATAAACATCTTTTGATTCAAGAGAAAGTGGGTTATATTTTTACTCCTATTATTAGCCTAAATGAAATATTATTTGACTTCTAAATATTAGATTTGAAATGTAGCAAAAATGTAATCTTTTCAGAGACTAGGCAATTTAATTTTAACCCTATTTTTCACCTTAAGCGAAATCTCAAATGTTCAACATCTTATATTATAATAGGTTATAATCTACTTAAAATTTGAAAATACAGTTTTTGGCTTTATGAAGATTAGCCTATTTGCTAATTTTGCTCAAGCTTTTATTAAATAAAAATATAATTTCTTATATAAGTATTTGTCTATTCTGTAAGCATTAATTTCTAACAATATACTAATATTAGTACCAACATTTTGACAACTTTTTAATAAACTATCATGACTACAGAAAAAAACTATGTAAATCATAAGAAATAAATCTTAGCAAACTTCAAAACTGAATTTAAACTAATTGAATAGATCTCCAAAGCTTAAACAAACAAAAAATACAGAAGGTAAAAGACACTCATTTTTTAAAAACAAATCAGTAAAAGCACTATTACTAATTATGAAACTTATTGCCTTTGAAAAGTACTACCTTTAAAAAAATAGCTGAATCAATCAGTTAAAATATATGCTGGGAAATGAGAAATCTAGACTATCAGGTTTAGCTTCATTCTTAATGTTGGGACATTGAAAAGGTCATTTTATTCCTTCATACCTAAATGTAGTTGATGATATCTGTTTACGTTCTTAAGCATATTGTATTACTATTAAATATAAATAAACTTTTTAAATATTGAGTAAAAAGTTACTATATAAAGTGATCAAACTTCTATTAATAATTATTGAATATTGTTTTAACACTTTCCAACTAGAATATCAAATAATACTCTCATTTAACAAATACTGGAAATTCATCTTCTATTTTATCAATTTAGTTTTTGCTGGGAATATTTAAAATAACATCAAATAAGTATATACTATATATTTTTAATACTTTTAACAGATATAATTGTATGCATTAAGAAAATATTAGTATATTTCATATTTATAGTGTACCAATGGAAGAATAGACATGATTTTGCAAATAGTATAACTTTGATAGAAAAAGTTCAAAGCTTGATTAAATTGGTATCTTATTTTGTCATGTATTGATTCCTCTGATATGAAATGTAATTTACATTATAATAGCATTAAAACATTTATTATAAATTACTTAGTTCTGTGCCATTTTGCATTTTTTTTCTTATTTGTTCTGCCATGGTTATTATTCAAGTACATTTTTAAAAATCATAGTATTTCTCATTTTTTAATCTGAACTTCTATTTAAATACATATATAGTAGAAAAATAGATATATATTTATAATTTCTTCAATTTGTATTATCTCAATCAAACTACCCCGAGGTCTAGTTTGTGGTAATATAATATTATTTAAAAACAAATCAACCATATTGCCAAGGCATTCCAGAAAAATAACCCAGCATCCTGAAGCAATCATGCCTTACAGATTACATCCAAAGTTAGAAAAACAAAATAAAAAATGTAATAATCTAGAGTAAATGTATAAGGAAACCACTACAGATTAACATTATCTGTTGTTATTTGCACAAGTAGTCCAAAGCTGCTGCCAGGACTTTGATGGTAAATCTAAAATCATAGTAATCTCCCAAGCATTTCTGAAGTAATTTTTCTTAAACTTAGCCCAGAAAATTTTTCTTCAACTCAGCTCCATTTGGGCCATATTGAAAGATGGAAACTAACCTGATATTCCTGGGAGTTCCTTCATCTGTCCACTCTAACAAGTCAAAATCAACACTGTAGTGAACATAAGTTATAATAACAGTCTTCAAGGGAAGCTATGTGCGTGACTGAGAAGGGACTATGACTGGGGGTCACAAGTTAATTTTTAAATAGATGCAGAAGTGCATGCACAGTATGATGGTAAGGTGAGCGGAAAAAATCTTCCTCTGTGATTCATCTTGACTCCTCAAATCACTCTCATTCTCCTTAGCGATCTCAGAAGTGAGAAATGACTTGTCAAGTGTGTGTGCCACAAAGAACAGTAAGCCTTGGTCTTCTTATGGAACTCATTCACAAAAGTCAAGCAATACTGAAAGAATTACAAATTTGCTTTTAAAACCAGGCCACCAGTAGCCTGCTAGCAAGATAATGGTTCCAGCCCCATTAGAGAGACAGGTGGCATCAGGAGAAAAAGCAAGAGGGTGATAATAACTGCCAAAATATTTGCAAACGGTTTACTGGCTAATGCAAGTTCCTCTTGGACTTCCAAGAGATTGATGTGGATTGGATTTTCCCCTGCAAAGTCTTGTTCTTCTTTAAAGTTATTTCCTTTGAACCAGTAGTTTTTGTTCTGTTTTTGTTTTGTAAATTTCAAGAGTAAACAACTATGACTAGACTTTACATACAAGTGTACAGAGAAACTGTAACAGTGAACTGATTTTACATTGCAGATGTATAAATCCACCATAGGATGCATTGCCATATCCATTCTTGTTCTCTTGGTCATTTTCTTAATAGAGCCACGTTTCCTAAATGTACCTGATAAGTGTAAATTGCATCCTAAGATAAACCCACAGCATTAAAAATAAAACTCAAAACAAAATTTTAAAAAGCTTACTTTAAATATCCAAAGTACCAAGCTATTAATAAAGGTTCTTATGAAAGGTTAAATAATAGTGAAATGTAAACTCACAAAAATGTCCACTTATTAATCTAAAAGTAGAGGAAGGTATACTGCTAGTTGACAGATGTTATTAAACTAAAAATGTCTTGGTTAATGTATGTAAGTACCAAATTTATAAGCTCCAAAGGTACTTTAAAATTATGATGAAACTTTCTGAATTGAGTACATGTGATTAAGTAGAATTATAGCTAACTTAGGCAAGTAATGCAATTAAAAGTTCCATGATACAATATTTATATTGTTTTTTTACAATTCTCTGCAATTCTTTGCAAAGGACATCAGCAGTCTGACACTATTCAGCAATTTTTTATTTGCTAATTGAAGATATAATCTTTGGCTAGTTTTCTATCACTCGCATCTTAATAAGAGCTAGGTATCATCTATGAGTATCTTGTGCTTGTCAACATTGTTAGGAAATTTAACATATTTACTTGCTAGGTCCTAATAATTCTTATAGGAAAGCTCTCATTTCCATGTTACTATTAGTTCAAAGTAAAATATTTCAAGTTCTTGCTAGTGTATTTGTGATCTATATTCTATAAGTGTACTTTTACATTTGCTTCTTAAAGCAGAAGATTCTTATGATGTTTGTAAATCAAATACAATTTTTTTTTTTTTTTAGTTGGAGTCCCACTCCATCATCCAGGCTGGGGTGCAGGGCCCGCTCACAGCCACTGCAGCCTTGACCTGCCGGGCTCAGGCAATCCTTCCACCTCAGCCTTCCAAGTAGCTGGAATTATAGAAATGCATTGCTACGCCCAGCTAATTTTTTTATTTATTGTAGAGACGAAGTCTCACCAAGTTACCCAGGCTGGTCTCGAACACCTTGGCTTAGGCAATCCTCTCCTCTCGGCCTCTCAAAGTGCTGGGGTTACAGGCTTGAGCCACCGTGCCCAGCCATCTATTTTTAATTTAAAGAAATTCTGTGGCAAAGTCTTCAGCGAGCAACCCTGCTCTATTCCATATAGAATATAGGCCTTTTGTAATTAATAACTGTCCATTGTACAACCTTCACAAATTCTTTAATTTGCCCATGTTAATATAGCACATAATCTATTCCATACAAATTGAGTAAAGT